TTTCTTGAGTTTTTACAATAGTGGTGCCAAACAATCTTTGCTCTTTTGTGATTGACTAATTTCACTCAGCATACCATCCTTTAGGTTCATCCAAATTATGAGGTGTTTTGCAGAATCAGTTATTCCTCCCTGTTGCATAGTATTCCATTGTGTGTATGTATTAACATTTGTTTATGCATTCTTCCACTGAAGGGCAATTTGGCCGTCTCCATCGTTTTGTTATTGTGAATAGTGCTGTGATGAACACTGATGTGCATATATATACGTACTGTGCTGTGGCTCTTATTTCTTGTGGCTATAATATATGGGTCGGAACCTACTCGATGGCACTTAGCAACAACAACAACATATACCAAATTGAGGGATTGCAGGGACATACTTCATTGATATTTCTAACTTTCTGAGGAAGCACCATACAATTTCCACAGTGGTTGAATCATTTCACAGTTCCACTTGCAACATAGGAGAGTCCCAGTCTGTCTGTAACCTCGCCAGCATTTGTTGTTTTCTGTTTGTTTGAACTTTGCTGTTAATCAGGTGAGATATCTCATAGTTGTTTAGATTTTCAAGGATTACAGCATGGTGCTGCAGGTTAATGTGCTGGACTGCAAGTTTGGTTTGAATCATCAGGTAGGTGTTCAAGCTCACCAGCTACTCCTAGGAAACCCTATACACGGTCGCTATGAATTGGAACTGACTCAGCTGCACTTAACAACAACAACAACAACAATGGCTAATGATCATAGACATTTCTTCATATGTTGGCTGCCTGAATGTCTTTCTTGGTAAAGTGTCTGTTCATGTTCTGTGTCTATATTTTGATTGGCTTATCTTTTTCCTGTAGAGGTGTTCTAGTTTACTATAAATTTTAGAGCTGAGTTACTTGTGTGATACGTCACTGCAAAAAATTTTTCCTGAGACTGTGAGCTCTCTATCCTTTTGGAGAAATCTTTTGACGCAGTGTCTAATTTTTAAGAGGTCCCAGTCATCTATTTTGACCTCTATTGTTTATGTGTTTTTAGTTATGTTTCAGAGTGTCTTTATACCACGTATTAGAGCCTCTAAGTTTGTCCCTTTTTTTCACTGATGATCGTTAGAGTTCCAGGTTTTGCATTTAGGTATTTAATCCATGCTGATTTTCTTTTGTATGTGGTATAAGATATGACTACTGTTTTATTCCTTTGCAAATGGATCTCCAGCTTTGCCAGAATCATTTGTTGAAGAGACTATCTCTTCTCCATTTAATTTGTTTTGGACCTCTGTTAAAGATCAGCTGAATGTACATGGATGAATTTACTTGTGGGTTTTCAATTCTGTTCCACTGATCTATGCATTTTTCATTTTACCATACCAGGTTGTTTTGACCACTATGATTGGGTAGTAGACATTTAGATCAAGGAGTGGAAGGCCACCTATTTTGTTCATTTTCTTAAGCAATGCTTTCCTCATCAAAGTCTCTTTACTTTCCATATAAACTTAAAGACCAGTTTTTCAATGTCTTTAAAGAATGACATTGGAGTGTGGACTGGGACAGTATTATATCTATAGATTCCTTTGTACAACGTTGAAATTTTCACAACATTAAGTCTTCATATCCATGAGCATGGTATATTCATCCACTTTTGTAAATCTCTTTATCTTATAGTAATGTTTTCTAGTTTTCTTTGTATATGTCTTTTGTTTCTCTGGTTAGATTTATTCCTAAATATTTCATCTTTGGGGTGGCTATTATAAATGGTATTGTTTTCCTGATTTTCTTTTCAGAGCTGTCTTTATTAGTTTAGAGGAATCCAACTGATTTTTGTGTATGGATCTTGTACCCTGCCACTTTGTGTAATTTTTCAATGAGTTTCAATAAATTTCTTGCTGAGTCTTTGGGATTTTTCTATATATAGATAGGATCATCTGCAAATAGAGAGAGTTTTACTTCTTCTTCACCTATGTGAATAACTTTAGTTTCCCTTTCTTGTCTTATAGCTCTGGCTGAGACTTCCAATACAATAATGAATACAAGTATGATTCCTAATTGCAAAGGGAATGCTTTAAATCTCTATTGAGAGTAGTCATCATCGATCTTGGAATGTTCTTTTTTATGATGAATGCAATGCCATTCCTCCTCAATTTGTTGTTTCTGGTATAGTAAACTATATGACTGCCTCATTTTAAATTGCCAATACCAATCCACTTCAGTTCATCAATACCTAGGATGGGATCCTGGTATGGAACTGTATGATAGGTACAAAGTCATCAGTTCAAATCCACCAGCCTCTTCTTGCTATTCTGTGTTAGTCTGAAAGCTCTCCTGAAACCACAGGTGACCCTGGTGGTATTTAAAATACCAGCGGCATAACTTCCAGCATCACAGCAACTCACAAGCCACCACAATATGACAAACTATCAGACATGTGGTGGATTAAAAATAATTTGTTGCTGTTGTTGTTTAGTGCCACTAGATCAATTCTGATTCACAGCGACACTGTATAGGGTTTCCAAAGAGTAGCTGGTGGGTTTGAACCACCAAACTTGTAGTTTGCAGTCCAGTGCTTATCTTATCCTACAGTGCCACGATTATTAGAATATAACAGAAATGTTTAACATTTTAATATTCTAAAGAAATGTTTGTTTTTATATATGTGTGTGTACATATACTTTTTATTTTATGAAAAAAATCAGTTAATCTACTGATAAAAACTTAAATATTTTAACATAAAATACAATTCATGCTATTTTAAAGAATATTCTATAGAAACTTTCAGGGAAAATATTCATCAGCTTATTTGAAGTGATCAAGAAAATTCCTGTAGATAGAAAAGTTAACTGAAAAATACTTACCATATGTGTTTTTAAACGCATAACAACATCATGTATATTGCTCTATAGGATTTTCTAAGGGGTGTAATTTTTCAGTGTTGCATTTTAATACTGACTTCCTGAAGGAGCTTTGACTACAATAGGCATGAATATGTTTTCAAAGGATGATGGATAAATTGCTGGGTGGTTATATAATGTATCTTAGGCAATTGATGGGGCTTTTTATCCTTTACTTGTCTCTTAGTTATATACAGTTTTAAGATAATTATGGTCTATAAGATTGTCTTTTCCCTTTTCTTGTACCAGAAATATTTGCCTTGGTTACAGGTTCCAGAGATCCCCAATTATACATCATAAAATTAAAACTAAACTGTTAAACTATTTTATTCCTGCATTCTATCTCTAAATACTGTTAATGCATTTGTTTGGTCATTAATTGAGTTTGGTTGTTGTCAACAAAATTTTAGCTAGGACTAACAGACCAGATAAGTCGTTAAATAAAATTTTTGATCAGTGATACTGTGTAAATTTTTTTCATGCAACTCAGAAAAACTTTAGAAAATATTCTTCAAGGGACATTCCTACAATAAAATTCCTTCTTTTCCCTTTTACTTAACTGTACACAGTTCACATCTATAATAACAAAAAATATGAATGGGACTGTGAATGAATCTTGTCTCATTTAAGCACCATAAGGGGACTTCAAAAAGTCTTGTAAAATTATTAGTACCTTTAAATTCAATTTTTCCATGAGCTTTTTGAAGCTCCCTTGCATATTATATTCATTACCTGATATACCTTAAACAATATAGTTCTAAAATATTTGTCTTATGATACACATATGCAAAAATAATTATAATGATGAATGAATTGAGACTTCAAGTCTTTTGAGACAAGTTTAAATTGATTTTAATTATATATAAATTTTTGTTACATAAAATTATTATAATGTCATTATTAAACATTTTAAACAAAATATATTATAGTAGGATAAAACTATAAGGGGGACTGAAATAGAAAATATGAAATAAAGAATAAATAGGACTGATGTAAAATTTCTAGCTGTTAAAGAAGAGGTTGCACATGTATGTGCTTCTGAAAAGGATACTGACATCAAAGTATCACGATATTTAGACTGTTCTGATGTGGTGCTGCAGGTTAAGCACTGGACTGCAAGGTCGGTTTGATTGGCAAGGTCGGTGGTTCACACTCACCAGCCACTCCCTAGGAACCCTGTACAGGGTCGCTATGAGTTGGAACTGACTCGAAGTCACTTAACAACAACAGCAGCAAGGTAAACAGCAACACCAGAGAGGTACACAATCCTTAGAACAATCAAATACATGAGATAAAAAGCAGTATTTGTCAAGAGGCAAGAAGGGATAAGAAAGAAGGATGAATAGAAATGGTAAACAACAGGAAGAAGTGGGAAGAAGTGCTGTTACATTAAGGAGACTGTAATCAATGTCATAAACAAAAGGTGTGTGAATTGTTGAATGGAAATCAATTTGCTCTGTAAACTTCCACTCATATAATATAAAGTTTAACAAACTTTTTATATAATAGGCAAGAAGATACATAATGTAACAAAATTATTTTACAAGTATGAAAGCCAAAAGTTATGAAGACCACTGTCCTTGACTTTCTGAAAACTTAGCCAAGATATAGAATATGTGGTGATGATCACTCAATAAGAATTAGTAACCAAATGTGAAGTAACTTAGAGCTTTAAAGGTAATCTTTAGTTTTCAGAAATATCTTATAATTTATTATTTCCTTACACTAATCATACACACTCTGGTAGTAGTGGGCTATGAATAGGGCTGCTAACCTTGGGCAGTTCAAAACTACCAGCTGTTCCATGGGAGAAAGATGAGGCTTTCTGCTCCCATAAAGATTTACAGCCTCAGAAATCCTGTACAGGGTCACTATGAGTCAGAACTAACTCTATGGTGCTTAACAACAACAACATAGTTTAAATAAATTTGATAACAACATAGTTTAAATTAATTTGATATTTTACCTTAAGGGGAAAAAAAAAGTTTCAATGACTACATTTTAAGAGTTTGAATATATATAAACATGTATGTTGTTTATGTTTGTAAACCATTTTTTCACAGAATGTTTATTGTCTCATAAAAAGTGACAGATAATTCCATAGACACTGAATTAGTTAGTATATTCTCTACCTGTAAAATGTCAGCAGGGTCTTCTTTAGCAGATGCAACCAATAGAGTATGACCACTGAGGATTCCCTCTGCCAGGAAATACTTGAAGAGTGAAGGTGAGTAAATATTATATTTATCCTCTTCTGTTTAAAAAAAAAAAAAAAAAAAAAAGCCGTATGCTATCACATACAAAACACACATTTTTTTTTTTTTACAGCTTTTCTTCTTAAAACCAAGTATACAGAATACACAATTATAATGTCTTAATGGTGCTTAGTTACATAGGCTATGTAAATTACATTGATTCCACAGATCATTCTGTCCATTACTCCTGTTAGCCACAAAATTTAGAGGGTAATATAGGATTACAAGAATCCTGGTGTGGTGCTGTGGGCTAATGCGCCAGACTGCAAAGCTGTTCGAATTGTAAAGTCGATGGTTCAAGCTCTCCAGCTGCTCCTCAGAAACCCTATACAGGGTCACTATGGGTCGGAACTGACTCGACAGCACTTAAAACAACAACAATATTATGATTATAAAGGAGCTCTGGTAGCGTAGTGGTTGCGAGTCAGGCTGCTAACCTCACGGTCAGTAATTCGAAACTACCAGTGGTTTCGTGGGAGAAACATGAGGCTTTCTGCTCCCGTAAAGATTTACAGCCTCAGAAACCCTAAATAGGGTCTCTATGAGGTGGAACCAACTCCATGGCACACAACCACCACTGTATGATTATAAGTGTAATGGGTTATGTGTTGGGCTGCTAACCGAAAGGTCAGCAGTTTGAATCTACCAGCCTCTCCTGGGAGAATGATAAGGCGTTCTGCTCCGGGAAAGATTTACAGCCTCGAAAACCTTATAACGGTTAGCTATGAGCCAGAACAGACTAGAATACACACAACCACTACCACTACATGATTATACCACAGGAGAAAGATGAGACTTTCTGTTCCTGTAACGATTTACAGCCTCAGAAACCATAGATAGGGTCACTATGAGTCGGAACCAACTCCACCGCACATAACCACTACCACCACCATACCTCTCAAATGTCCCGTATTATCTACCAACTGGTCTGTAAACTTGCTCTTCATTTATTTCATGTCACAATAATGAAGCACTTGGATGATTAACATATATAAAATTGGAAGGTACTGGAAAGTGACAAAAAACATATTGAAACTATAGCAGAGCTTTGTTTTGAAACACAGTGATCATTATGTGCAAGAATTTTAAGTTTCTGACTTTTTTGCCTGAGTGTTCCTAACCTCCGCTAGCTCTATCATCTTTTCAACTTTAATGTGGCAAAGTTATCAAAGCAGCTAGAAGGTTGGTTTTTGTGTGTGTGTGTGTGTGTTTTTGGGAGGGGGTATATCTGAAAAATCCTGGAAATAACAAAACCCCAGAAGGATTGAAACTCAAAATATGACTACACACTGCCTAGCTTATTGCTAAGTTATGCATAACTGAGAAGAAGAAACAGGAGGCAAAAAAGACAAGAGCTAAAAGACATAACCGAATCATAAGAATGCTGCCTGTGAAGCCTGCACTTCCCAATCTGAGAACAACCTGAAGTTTTGCAACTGAAGACTTATTCAGCGGAGGTGTCTATGAGGACAGAAATTAGTTGAGAACTACAAAAAGAAAGAGCCTCATATCTGGATATAAATTCTGTCCAAATATTTGAGTATCTACTAAACTACATAATTGCAGTTGTTTGTTGTTTAGTGCTGTCGAATTGGTGTCCACTCATAGCAACCTTGTATAGGGTTTCCAAGGAGTGGCTGGTGGATTTGAACTGCCAGCCTTGAAGTCCAGTGCTTATCCTATAGCCCACACCACAGACCCCAATATGGTCAGAGAGTGACTTCAAATGGTCCCAGAAATTGGATCTAGTAGGAGTAGTCTTCAAAGCAGCAATTAATTATAGATGTGTTTTTTTTTAAAAACATTAAAAGAACTACTGAAGGTCATCACTCAATTAAACAATGGACTGTTTCATAAAATAAAAAGTATCACAAGTGAGTACCACGGTCCTTTAAAATAGCACCCATATGAAATCAAATGGTCAATATTAACAGTACAGTAAAAATGAGCAGGCAGGGGAGCATGGGAACTGTATTGCTGAAGATGAAACAACCATAATGGAAATGATGAGGATGCTATCCTGGTGTGGTGCTGCAGGATAAGCAAAATCAGCAGTTCAAACCCACCAGCAGCTCCGTGAAATCCTATACTGACTGGGTCACTATGAGTTGGAATTGACTCAATGGCACTTCCCACCACCAACAAATACACTGCAAAAATGTAATCAATTTCTTTGGTCGATATGTGTAAAAGTTATTAAATGGAAATCTAATTTACTATGTAAACTGTCACCAAAATGCCACAAACTTCACATTTTTACATATCATGACAAGTGTCTTTCAAATATAGTTTTTAAAAATTAGAAGAAAATGTATTCAAAGTACTAAAGGGAAATATGGTTTCAGCGAGTAAACAGAAAGGTAATATCAACAAAGAAACAGAATTTATAAGAACAAATCAATGTAAACCTGTCTTCAGACTATAACTGATTGGAATACCTAAAAGGGATTCTAGAAACTTGCCCAGTGAAATAGGCTTCTTGCAGAGACTTTGTAGTATAGGACTTTAGGTGGAATCCTGAGCCTCATACAGAACCTTCTGAGGTGGGACATTCCCACTTGAAAAGACATGCAAATCAGCCTATAACAGCTAGAGGTTCAGAAGATACTTCTTGAAAGAGAGACCAGTAGGAAAAAAATTTTTAAATGGTAGTGTGATTGGTTACTACAAGTACAAGCCAAGTTGTTTGCTGGGAAGCCATCAACGTAAGCAATCAAGTCCCTTCTTCAGACAACCCCTACTCCAAGACTAAAACTCAAAGGGAACACATAAGCAGACATGTAAGCTTGCTGGCGATCATGTTGGTCTACTGGTGAGTGGAAGTGGGGGGAAAGCAGCAATGAAGAAATGGGCTGAGTTCAAACACGTTCCATACACTCCTGTCAACCTGGAGATGAGAGACAGAAGAGGAAGGGCTGGTTGGTCTGAAGTGTGGTGAGACCTGGGGACTTCTAAGCCATGGAAGGCTAGAGCTGAGAGTGAAGCAGCCAGCTGATATGAAGTGAGGGGAAATGCACAAGAATGCCCAAACTTGCAGCTAGTACTCATTTGACCTAGCTTTGATGGCTTGATGCTCAGTATTCGACTAGAGGAAGATAAAGAAATCTGATAAAGGAAGCAAATGTAAATTGCTACAATTTGATGAACTTGACCTATACTTATGGATGTAGTAGCTCAAAATACCAACCAAGAGGGAAGGATTCTCCACATCAAGGATCAAACCTATCTCCTCTATATACAGGGTTGATATGGACAGGCAACAAAGGCTTTGGCTACCTAAAGTGGGGGGTGAGGAGTGGGGGGGGGGGGGGAGGGAGGGTATAAAGGCACAAAGTGCCTGGCTTACAAGTTTTCAAGAGGGAGTTTAGTTTCAGAGTGTGTGGGGGAAGACAGAACCCCAATGAATAGTTTTCATCTTGTCTAGATGGGTCTGGTAAAAGGAGATGGTAATAAGATTCTTATTTTCATGTCTTAACCAACCAACAAACCAAGGTAGTTCTACTATGTCCTATATTATTGCAGTGGGTCAGAATAGACTCAAGGGCAGTGGATTTTTTATGTGAAACAGTAGATAAATTTCTTCTAGCACATATTACAGTACAAAACTGGAAAAAACATATAAGTTACAGGTGGTGGTGGTATGCCGTGGAGTTGGTTCCGACTCATAGTGACTCTGCATAGGGTTTCTGAAGCTGTAAATCTTTATAGAAGCAGAAAGCCTCATCTTTCTGCTATAGAACAGCTGGTAGTTTCCAACTGCTTGACCTTGAGATTAGCAGCCCAACAAATACAAACAATTTTCTAATAAATTCTAGTTTTTTTCAAAAGCAATGAATTGCTTTCTTAACTAGAAAGTCTGCATTCAAATATCTATTTCCCAATGATTATGTAATATTGATTTGTCACCAGATGTGAGGCTTAATAATGTGACTACTAAAACTAAATTCCACTTGAAGAATCTACAATCTATACCACAAAAATAATACAAATAAGACTATGTACATATATAAACTCTTCTCACTTTAAAGATGAATAAAAAATGATTTATCAGTTTACTTTTCTTAAAGAAGGCAGTAATGATAAAATGTGAATTTGCAGTCACTTATAAGTTTTCAAATTAATCACTAATAATTCACTAATAGTGAAATTCTTTTTTTAAAATCTACTGGAATTTATTTTAGCCTTTTAGAAAAGAAATAGAGCATAAGGCACTGCTAACAATTTTTAAATTATATGAATTAGATTTCCAGAGATGTTAGCCCAATTTATTTAAAATTTATATCAATATTTGAACTTAAATATTGTTTAGTTTAGGCAATTGCCTTTCATTTAATTTATCTTAAATTTTAAAAGAATTAATAGTTTGTAATATTTAATTTCAGAATGCCAAACCCATAAAGTCATGATGCACAAGAAAAATCTGTGATCAGGATAAGCAGGGTATATATTCTATACTAACCAATTAGTAGAACTGTTCCAACAGCTAATCCTCCACCTGGAAATGAAACAAAACAAGAAAATTAATCTACCCTTTCACATTACATTTAGTGTGAAAGTTAGGCTTTATTAAGAACAGGTACTACAATAATTTTAAAACTATAGTTGGGAACAACATTTTAATTATTTTGTAATACTTTGTTCTAGGTGCTATTATGAAATAATTATATACTATATGTGATTACACACTACACATTACAATTACTTTTATAACATGCTGCACTATCCTCTTTTCTCATATGATAAGACCATGCCACATTCAACATAACTGTGGCTAAGATTTAATAATCTATTTAGCATTTATTAATGAACTGACTTAACAGCTAAGACCTAAAATGTACACAGTAACTTAACTGCTACAGCAGTACAACAAAGAAAACTTATGATAGATATTCCACTTTAATATTTACCTACAAATTTAATAAGTACTGGAGGAAACTGATCATTAAAATGAATTCTTTTCATTGTAAATTATATACATAGACTGAATACTCTAAAAATTCATATCCAAATCTATTTAAAATTTTAAATTAACAATAATTTTGCCATTTCAAAGAAAGGACATTTTTAATGTCCTTTTTTCAATGTGTCTCCCCCCGGTATTATCGCCACATGTTCTTTTACATGTATGACTGGTCATGAATATATACCTCAATTCAAACGCTCAGTCATTGAGTTGATTCCCACTCAGAGTTGTGCCCCTGTATAGTTTTCAAAGCTAGATAGCTTTACAGGAACAGAAAGCCTCATCTGTCTTCCACAGAGCTGCTGGTGGGCTTGAACTACTGACCTTGTGGTTAGCAGTCCAGTGCTCATTCTACAGCGACCAGAGCTCCTCCATAACTCAAATAGTGAATTATGCTTCAACAGAAAATCAAGTGGTTAGAAACTAGAACCACAGTAAAAAGAAGAGATAATGGACTAATGATATTTTGTTTAGAATCTCATTTATAAAACATTGTTTTTACAATTACTATCAATAATTGCATTTACAATTTTCAATATATATCAAAGAATTTAATTACTGAAAATTACTGGACAACTCAAAAAAAATTCACCAGATTTAATTTTCCTTCACTGTGCACAAATTGAAAGAAACATTTAGAATACCAATAAAAATCTTTTCCTCAAAAAGTTTTATAAAGGCAGATATTATATGGAAAATTTAGTTTAAAATATTTCTTTGACAATGATTATTTTGGCCCTGAAAAAAGCAAACATAACTATAATTTATTTTAAGAAATAAGAACAATTTGACAACATGCATAGAATATCATGCAACATGTTTCACGCCAATTACAGCAATGCTTGAAATCAATTCTATGACAACATGTAAAATGTTTGAAATCACTGGAGAAAATAAAAAGAAAATGTACATACAAGTGTGAGTCAAAAATTATCCACACTCTGGCTGCAGAATTTTTTAGTTAATTTTTAGAGAAAAAAAAATACATCATTTCTTGATATAATCTCCTTGCTTTTCAATACATTTTGTCCATCTGTCAACAAGCTTTCATATTTCCTTGCTAAAAATGTTTTAGGCTGAGCTGTAAGCCATGCATAACACCACTATTTTCATTTCGTTATCAGAGATGAATCTTTGTCCTCATTGGGCTGCTTTCAGGGGACCAAACAGTGAAAGTCCAACCAAGTAATATCAGGGTTATAGGGAGGATGCTTTAACACCTCAAAACGAAGTTTTTGTTCAGTGTCAACAGTGTGGGCAGAGATGTGGGGATGTAGGGACGTGGCTTATCTTACAAAATCACAACGTCCTCAGATAGCAGTCCTCTGCATTTAATTTGAAGGTTAGGTTTCAGTGTTCCAATACTGGCCCTTGAGGATCCCAGAAAACTATAACCATCAATTTTCCAGCTGATGGTTGACTTTTGAACTTATTTTTGTTCAGCGATTGAGGATGTTTCCCATTCTATACTCTGTCATTTACTCTCAGGCTCGTAGGCATCTGTCACCTCTTCAATAATATTTTTTTTTTTTAAAGAAACTTTTATCTTCCTTTGAGTATCCATCCAAATTTTGTTTGCAGGTGTCCAAAGGCTTCTTTTTATGCTCTTCTGTGAGTTGTTTCAGTATCCATCTTGCACAAACTCTTTGAAACCCCAGTCTTGCGAGGATTATTTCATAGGTGGAGTCATGACTGATTTGCAAGTGGTTTGCCATATAATCCACTATCACTCATTTATTTGACAGAATAATTTCACATGTACGCTCAACATTGTCATCAGCTATGGACTTGGATGGACATTTTCATATAACTAGAGTGCGGCTAATTTTGGTGTCACTCTCGTATATTTATGTACAAGGGTGTTTGTTATGAGACTGAACATATATTTTAACATTTAAAAAATTTCTTCCTAATAGTATTTAAAGTTGTATCAGGATAAATAACTGAAACTATTGTGAAAACTAAAAGATTAACACAAGCTGAAATGTATATGATGATAGTAATTATAAAGTATCAGAAAACAAATAGATTTAATTTGGAACAAGAGTATACTAAATGTTTAATTTCACATTTTGCACCCCATATAGGCCACTAACTTTTTGATCTATTTTGAACATTTTAAGTTTCACTTACTACTTACTTTCACTACTTACTTTCCTACTTCACACTTACTACTTACATTCCTACTTCTCCTTTTATGAGAAAATGAACCTTTAACGATTTTTTGGTATAATGAGAAAAACTAATATAAGCACATAACAGAAACCCTGCAATGTCTGATCCAGCAGTTTAGTGCCATCGAAGTCACCAATTTTTCATTTCAAATCAACATTGCAGTCCAGTACGATTCCAGAACTCCAGAGAAGAGACTTTAAGAATCTCTTTAGCCTATTTCCCATGTAAAGAATTAAGGTTTCTTTTCTAACTATAAATGTCTCCTCAAATCAGGAATTCATAGGAGGTCGCAAGTGGAAAAATTAGATAGAGAAATAAAGCATTTCTAACATTTGATGAAAACATACTTAATAGTTTCCCAATTAAATGTAAGGATCTCTACCACAGGCGTCTGGCCCAGGATTACCCTTACCATTCCAGCAATTGCTTTCTGATTGTAGTAAATCACTTAAAAAAAAAAAAAAAAAGTCATTATTTGATAAATGGCGCTCACCTTAACAATAATTAGTAACAATACTTCTCATTGATAAAATAGCTAATAGTTAAACAACATAAGACTCAGCTAAGGTGGCTGGTGGCTGTGTGCCGTGGAGTTGGTTCCGACTCATAGCGACTCTGTACAGGGTTTCCAAGGCTGTAAATCTTTATGGGAGAAGAACGCCTCTTCTTTCTCCCGTGGAACCGCTAGTAGTTTCGAACTGCTGACCTTGCGGTTCCCTGCCCGATTCATAACCACTATGCTACCAGAGCTCCTTCAGCTAAGGTGTATCCCTGTAATAAAGATCCAAACAACCAGCTGTTCCTGATAATTTACCAAACATACCACTGATATTTCTTAATCTCATGTTAGAAACTGTTTGAAAATTTGCACATTACCGAAGAGAGCATAAAATGGTAACAAATTGAATGATTCTTACCAATGGAGTTCTAAGATAAGTGCTGGACTGCTAATTGCAAGGTCATTGGTTCAATTCCATCAGTCACTCCTCAGAAACCCTGGACAGGATCCCTGTGAGTAAGCACTGACTTGATAGCACTAAACAACAGCAAAACTAGTAAATTATCAATAATTCTCTTACAAACAAATCTAAGTTTTCTTTCTGTTTTCTAATGGTTCTATAAAGTAAATAAATGAGATTCAAAATTAGATGGACTTCAGTAAAGTTTGGTTATTTTAAAAGTTGATCATGGGAATAGGATGAAGCCACTTTAGTCATTTTAAAATCAAGCTTTTATTAAATGCACAAAGGTAAGTCAAAAGTATTGTTATAAAATCATTGAAACCTTTGTTAAAGAAAAATACCAAAATATGAAACTAATGTTCCTCTACATATTCTCCATCTAAGTTCATACATTGCTGAAGGTGGTGTTTCCACCTCTAAGCCTTCCTCAAAGAATTCTGTGCTATTTGGTTCACATGTTTTTTTTGTTTAGGCCTTCAAGTCGATTCTGATACATAGCGACCCTGTATAGGGTGTCCACGGACCAGCTGGTGACCTTGAACCACTGACTTTGCAGTTCAAATGACCTTGCAGTCTGAGGTATTAACACACAGCACCACATCAGGACACCATGTCAAAATGGCAAGTCTCAAGGGATTCACACTGAGTTCCTTTTAACTGTTCTTTGAGTTTGGGGAACAAAAAGAAACCTGAAGGGGTAAGATCATGGTTGTAGGGTGGACAGGTTAATCTTTCCCAGTGGAATTTTCATGAAACAGCCCTTGGTACCATTAAAGTAGGTGCATTGTCACGATGGAAAAAATTCCTCAGAGTAACTTTCCTGTACTTTTTCTCACCAATACCTTTAAAATTTTTTTTAAATGTTTTCATAAGCCCCCATGATTATCCTACATCTTTTGAGAAAATCTATGAAGATTACCCCTTGGCAGTCCCCAAAAGTTACTATTACCAGAGTTGACCTTTCAGCCTTAAATTTAACTGGTTGCCTCAGAAGCCACTGTTTTGATTGGACCTTGGTGGTTGTTTTGTTTTGTTTTGTTTTGTTTTGTTTTAAGGTGGCACTATAAAATAAAGCACTAGACCACAAGGCCAGTTTGAACCACAAGGTCGGTTACACTAGGGCAAACATATTATGGAGAGAATTTGTCTGCAGCCGTCCACTGACACATGTTTCAACACATCCTATCTGGAATAAACCCATGCATGTATAAACTAGAATCCTAGTAGCAATGTTTTTAAAATATAGTCTTGGATATTATGTACAATTATTTGACATGGACATATGAGGTAGCTTTTAAAAGTTCATGGAAAAGTAGAATTAAAGATAATGGGATTTCTCCATTAACTTTTTGAAGCGCCCCTCATACATATATCAACCAATCGGATCTTACTGTG